GAGCTAATGCAGGTGTTCCCCAGGTGGCCATCTCTCCAGTTACTATTGCAAATTCCCACAGTTCGCATAGAGCAGTTCCTGAAAAGTAGTATGAATGTTATGTCAGGATGTCAGTTCCAGGTACAGAACAGGATAAATAGTTTATCCATTGTCCCTGTCTCCCTTTGATCAAAGATTTGCTCCACAGTGAATGAACTTCTCTTCAAAATGGACATGTATGGGTACAAGGCAGGTGGGAGGGAAGAGGTACAGTGTCAGACGAAGGCAAGGCAGGATCAGGTTCCACCTACATGAAGGTGACTGGAGAACTAGACCTCAAAGATGACTGAAGCCATGTGAGGCTAAGAGGATATGAAGAAGTGCATAGAAAGCTTCTGATAGACACGCTGTATTAGGTTTCTCTGCCGTTGGAAGCTTAAGATAATGAAAATTTATTACATCACAGTATCTGAAGTCAAGAATCTGGGTGTAGCTTAGCTGGGCTGTCTAGCTCCAGTCTCTCACTAGGGTACAATTAAGGTGTTGCCTGGGCCTACAGTCCTCTTCAGAAGGACCCACTTCCAAGTTCACTTACATGATTGTTGACAGGATACTTTTCCCTTGGGCTACTGGCTGGAAACTTCCCTGAGTTCCTTGGCTACACACCTCTTTCCATTAGGTAGCTTCCAGCAGGGCACCTGGATTTTATCTCAGTGAGCAAGAAAGATCAAGCAAGGCAGAAGCAGAATCTTTATAATTTGGGGAGAGGATTACATAAGGGCATAGATATCAGGAGTTGGGGTCACTGGGACCGTCGTAGAGGCAGCCTACAACACACACTGTATTGCATTTAATAATCATCACAGAAGTCCCAGGGAGCATGATCCTTTGATGCCACTGAGGAAATCAGCTCAGCATCTTTTCAACTCCTCCTCCTCCTGGAGTCCTTCCTGATAATAGCTAAGCCCCATTTAGAAAAATACCTGCTTTCTCTAAGTCAGCCTCACTCACACACAGTGGCAGCTCCATGTACCAGCTGGTATGTTCCGGCCTGCCTTCTCCTGTCTGTGTTGCAGACCTTTCTCACTCCCACCACCAGTGTAGAATACTGACAGTGTCTTATTCAACTGTGAAGTGCGGTCTTGCAGCTAACAGTGTGGGCACTGAAGCTGGAATTTTGGGTTTAAGTCTCATGACCATGGAAATAAACTGAAATCATCTCTCAGGCTTCCTTTTAGATGGAAGGGTAATATTCCAGTCTCATAGGGCTATTTTGAAAATCGGTTACAGGCATACCTCTTTTGATTGCATGTTGGTTTGTTGCACTTTACAGATACTGCATTTTTTACAAGCTGAAGGTTTGTGGCAACGCTATGTCAAGCACTGTTTTCCAACAGCATGTTCTTGCTTTGTGTCTCTGTGTTTCATTTGGTAATTTTCACAATATTCCAAGCTTTGTTATTATTACCACATCTGTTATGGTGATCTGTGATCAAGGATATTTAATGTTACTATTGTAATTGTTTTGGGTTGTCATGAACCACACCCTTATAATATGGCAAACGTAGTGGATAAATGTCGTGCATGTGCTGACTGCTCCACTGACCAGCCATTTCTCTCTCTCCCTCCCTCTCCTTGGGCTTCCCTATTCCCTGAGACACAACAATACTGAAGCTAGGCCAATGAATAACCCTACAATGGCCTCTAAGTTCAAGTGAATGGAAGAGTTGTGTGTGTCTCTCACTTTATATTAAAAGCCAGAAATGATTAGGCTTAGTAAGGAAAGAGTGTCAAAAGCTGAGATAGGCTGAAAGCTAGGCCACTTGTACCAAACAGTTAGCCAAGTTCTGAATGCAAAGGAAAAGTTCTTGAAAGAAATGAAGTGCTACTCCAGTGAACACACAAATGACAAGAAAGCAAAATAACCTCATTGGTGATATGAAGAAAGTTCCAGTGGCCTGAGCAGAAGATTAGACCAGCCACAACATTCTCTTAAGCCAAAGCCTAATCCAGAGAAAAACCCCAACTCTCTTCAATTCTGTGAAGCCTGAGAGAGGTGAGGAAGCTGAGGAAAAGTTTGAAGCTAGCAGAGGTTGGTTCATGAGGTTTAAGGAAAGAAGCTGTTTCCATAATATTAAAGTGCAAGGTGAAGCAGCAAGTGTTGATGTAGAAGCTGCAACAAGTTAACAAGAAGATCTAGCTAAGGGAACTAATGAAGGTGACTGAAAAACAGATTTTCAATGGTGACAGAAAACAGCCTTAGAGTGGAATAAGAGGCCATCTGTGAATTTCATAGCTAGAGAGGAGAAGTCAATGCCTGCCTCAAAGCTTCAAAGAACAGGCTGACTCTCTTGTTAGGGGCTAATGCAGCCGGTGACTTTAAGTAGAAGCCAGTGCTCATTTACCATTCTGAAAATCCTGTGACCCTTAAAAATGATGCTAAACCTACTCTGCCTGTGCTCTGTAAATGGAAAAATAAATCCTGGATGGCAGCACCTCTGTATATAGCATGGTTTACTGAGTAGTTTAAGCCCATTATTGAGTCCTAGTGCTCAGAAAATAAAAATTAAAAAAACAGTCCTTTCCAGATATTGTTGCTTACTGACAATGCACCTTGACACCCAAGATTTTTGATAAAGATGTGTAAGGAAAATTGTTTTCATGCCTGCTAACCCAACATCTCTTCTGTAGCCCATGCATCGAGGAGTAATTTAGACTTTAAAGTCTTATTATTTAAAAAGTATATGTAGTAAGACTATAGATGCCATAGTCATTGCTCTGATGGATCTGGGCAAAGTAAATTGAAAACCTACTGTGAAGGGTTCACCATTCCAGTTGCCATTAAGGACATCTTTGACTGTGGGAGGAGGTCATATTATTAGTATTAATAGAGGGCTTGGAAGAAGTTGATTGAACCTTCACCGATAGTTTTGAGGGGTTCAAGACTTCAGTGAAGGAAGTAACTGCAGATGTGGTAGAATTGCAAGATAACTAGAATTAGAAGTGGAGCCCATGTGACTGAATCACCACGATCTTACAAGAAAAGGTGAAGGGATGAGAAGTCATTTCTTGACATGGAATCTGCTCCTGTGAACATTGTTGAACTGATGACAAAGGATTTAGAACATTCTGTAAACTTCGTTGATAAAGCAGTGGTAGGGTTTGGAGAGACTATTAAATACAATTCTGAAAGAAGTTCTACTGTGGATAAAATGTTATTGAACAGCATCACATGCTAGAGAGAAATCATTCATAAAAGAAAGAATTAATTGATGCATCAAACTTTATTATTGTTTTTTTTCCCCAAGAAATTGCCACAGCCTCCCCAGCCTTTACCAACCACCACCCTGATCAGTTGCAGCTATTAACATTGAGGCAAGACTCTCCGCCAGCAAAAAGATGAGGACTTGCTAAAGACTCAGATAATTGTTAGAATGTTTTTAGTAATAAAGTATTTTTTAAATTAAAGCATGTTCATTGTTTTTTAGACATAATGCTATTGTACACTTAATAGACTACATTATAGTATAAACATAACTTTTAATTTTTATTTCAGCATATTAAAACCAAAACTAATATGTGACTCATTTTATTACAATGTTTGCTTTATTTTTGTGGTCTGGAACCAAATCTCCAATATCTTCAAGGTATGCCTATAATTGAATATGTGAAAAGCACTCAAACTGGTGCAAGATGACCTATAATTTTCTTTGTACACACTGTTCCTATGATTTCTCAACCTTGATATTGTTGTTGTGGGAGGGACTGTCCTGTGCATGGAACAATGTTTGGCCACATCTCTGGCCTCCACCCACCAAGGGCCAGTGGCACTCTCCAGTAGTGAAGATCAAAAATGTCTCCACACTCTCCCAGCAAAATAGCCCCCCACTGCCTCCAGGTGACAGCCTCTTCCCTGTACCAATGATAAACTCAGAAACTTTTGTGAATGAAAGAGTGAATAGACACTGAGGTGTGTGTTTCTTTGGGGGAGGGAAATGGGCACAGAAGGATCTAGAGTAGTGCATCAAATTGCTGAATAAACCGAGCTTTCAGGGTTACTCTGCCCTGAGCACAAGGTCAAGTTACAGCTCACCTCTCTATGGAAACTAGAAAACCACTTGAACTCTCTCTGGCTTAGTTTTCCTATCTGTAGAAGAGAGATAAAAATTCCTATTTTCTGGATTATTATAAGGATTAAATCAAATAGTCCCTGTGTAACCATATGAAGAAACTTTATTTTTTGTAGTAGCAGGCTCCTTAATGTATGAAGAGCTCTGCATTGTTGAGTCAACAATTTAATGAGTCACTTGAACGAACTCTCCCAAGAAACTTGACTTGAATATCCTAAGTGGAGTCCGGCTTGCTCTCCAAGGTGGGTGGGTTTGGCTACCTGCAATGTTAGTTCTGCCAAGTAGAGTGTGCAAGTGGAAGGTGAAGGAGCCTTGTCTGGACATTTGCAGGGTTGAATTGGGGGAAAAATGAAGGGATTTGCCTCTGGAGAGGAACTTGTTGAGGAGCTGTCTCATGGGATCATGAGTAAGTTTTGCTGTGCAGTGAGTGAGATAAATGTTTTCTCATTCAGGCTGCTATGAAAAAAAAAATATCATGGAAAGAGTAGCTTAAACAACAAATACTTATTTCTAACAGTTCTGGAGTCTGGGGGAGTCCAAGATCAAGGTGCAGGCAGATTTGGTGTGTAGGGATGTCTCTCTTTGGTGTGCAGATGGCCATCTTCTTGCTATATCCTCACATAGAAGGGGGGGGAGAGAGAGAGAGAGAGAGAGAATATGAATGAATCTCTCTCTCATGTCTCGTCTTCTAATCGCACTCATCTTCCTTGAGAGGCTCCACTTTCATGACCTAATTGCCTCCCAAAGACTCTGCCTTTACATGCTATCACATTGAGGGATAGCACTTCACCATATGAATTATGAATTTTGGGGGGATACAAACATTCAGTCTGTAGCACTCATTTACCCCGTAAATTCCAGTTTAATTTGCATTATTCACCTTTGCATTAGGAGCAGAACCTTAGTGGTATATCATGGTGGCTGAACACAGCTCTGGAGTTCCAGCACTGTCCTTTCCTACTGTTGTACCTGGCACAAGTCATTTCTTCTCCTAGTGCCTTGGTTTCCTCATCTTCAATAAACAGCAGCTACCTCTTCGGGTGGAGGTGAGTTAATGTAGAGGAATCACTGAACACAAGGTCGGGCCCATGGCAAGTGATCTGTGCATGTTGCTCACTATTTTAATATTTCAGAGTGGAGGTGTGATGAGCTGTGGGTGCTGCCCAAGGTGAGCTGTGGTAAACAGAAGCCATCTAGTCCCTAAATACCTGGGTCATAATTGCCAAGTGCTATGCACAGAATCAGACATACGAGTTCTTCCCAGTTAATGTCTTGAATGTGCCTTCTGTTTCCTAAGAAAAAATGAGAAATCTCTGGTCAATAAGTACCTTGACTTTATAGGTAACTCTTTGTAAACTGACTGAGTGGTGCGTGGACAGTATAAATACATGTAGAGAGTGGAGCTTACCCAGCACACCAGCCTGGGTTCCCAGAGTGCTGGTACTTTCTGTGAAGATCCACTTAAGCCAGACTGTTCTCAGAAATGATGGGGTGAGTTTGGAATATTAGCTTTGCCTTAAAATGTTTTACCCAGAAGTGGTATTTCTTGCCCATCAGTCACATTCATCACCGGCTCTTAAGAAAGGAAATGCAATTGGTTGTTATCTCTGCAGGAAAATATTGCATTAAACAGAAAGATTTTCATCCTTTGCTTTTCCAGGTCCCATTGCTGCATCAGCTGAGGTTAAAAGGCCACTTTTCTTCCTTTTTGTTGAGGGCTGAGAAAATAGATGTGAAAACATCCCTGGGAATGGAATTTGGCTCTGAGCCTGAGCCGGTAAACAGATGGGTTTCTTTCAAGCTTGTGGCTGCCAGTGACTCAGGAAGCAAGGCGACGTGAATGCCCTGTGTCTCCTGTGAGTTTGCTAGTGGTTTGCACAGTGACACCACTTCTGTCTTCGTCTGTAGGGCAGGGATTACAGGGAAGGCAGCACAAGGCTCAGAAAGTTTCAATGATTTGCTTAAGGTTACAGAGCTGATAGATCCTTTTCTCTCAAAGAGTGTAGCATAGGCCATCAGTCCAGGTGATAACCCACAGAATAAGAAGGTAGGGAGACATCTGTGCTAGATCTGCTTGGAGTGTCGTAGAGGGAATCATCAAAGGCTCTGGGAAGTCCTGCAATCTAGACATCTACTTAACCTAATGTGTCCTAAACTTGGGTGACCATGCAAGCCTCTTTTAATATAATATCAGGTAATATTTTGCATAAAAATTACCTATGTTCACAATTTTGTAAATGAATGCTCAATTAGAAAATTCCTACAGTATCTCCCATTTGTGAATTTCCAAGTTGCTCCTTAAGCACATTTTCCTGAGCAATCTATCAGAGATCTTGAAATGGTTTGTGGTTCAGGTTCTGCAAAGTCGTCTCCAAACTTTAGAAAACAACCTGCAAATGGTCTGCCAGTGTTTTCAACCCTTAGCCTGAAACAATATTTATCATACATTTTGGTTTTTTGGAACGTGGACCTAGATACAAGGCATATTTTAGAATGGAATTTGGAATTTTAGTTTAAAATCAGGGGAGTGGGTCACACCTGTAAGTATAGAGTGAGGCTGTGGGTAGCCCAGGGAGAAAACAGCCTTAGAAGGTAACACATCCCCTGTCTTGGATGGGTTTAAACAAAGGCTGAGCAACTGTGCTGCAGAAACTGAGGGAATTCCTCAGTGTGCATCAGGCGGCTCCTTCCACACTTGGGATTGTGCTAGAGAGTAGGAGTCTGACCTACTTTTCCCTGACTCATCGCTCTGGTCCTCCTCCTCTTATTCTTCCCTTCGTCCCACATCCTCCCAGCGGTGGTGGGCGGGGGGTGAGACTGGGATAACCTGGGGGAGACCCTGCGACGTTAGCCTTGTGGGGACGACCAGGCTCCAAGTCCACCAGTGTCTGATCCCTGCTCCCCAGGAATTCCAGAAGTCTCCTCTGCAGCAGACCACACTCGACAAGGGCTGTGGTAAATGTCGGAGTTACTTGCCTTGCGTCTGCTGGCCTGGGACACTCAATTTCCCCCATCCCATCCGAGATGGGCATCTGAGGAGTGGCTCTGGCTATAGCATTGGCCAGGGTCCCTGAGATCCCAGGCAGAGTCCCAGCCACGGTTTGCTGTGCTCCCAGCGTGCCCAGAGCCCAGGCTCCAGAGAGATGTGCACATGAACTCCTCCACCCCAGACGTCCAGTCGCCCCCTGACACTTACTGAATATTTACACAGTGCCAAACACCCTGCATGGCTGTGGGGACTAACTTTAAAGAGAAAGTAAGAGGTATGTGGTTTGCTAGGTAATTGCAAAGCATGATGATATATATTCATGATTCCTATTTATAACCGTGCCAAGGGTATTTTACCTACGAGGCCAGGTGAGCTGCAGGATGCCTTTTCTAATTATGGCCTTTTTCCCCCCCCATATTATGTGCTCTGACATTAAGTAAGGTTGGGTGGGTCTGACATGAATATAATTGTTCACAGGGAAGTTTGCCTTGGTTATTTTCAAAGTACCTGTCAGCAAGGGTAGTTGTCAGGTAATGACTGTAGTTCATTCTTTCACTCAGGAAGTGTGATCTGGAGACCCACTGTGATCAGCATCATTCTAGATACTGAGGATACAGAAATCAGATCAATTTGTTCAGTTTTTCAAGCATTAGGCATTTTTCTCCCAAGGGAACTTTTTCAGAGACATCGGTCCCCACCACCCCCATCTGTAAGAATCCAAAGAAGGGGCACGGTATGTTGACAGTGGGGGTGGTAGAACCTCAAGCTCCACCCATTTGGTTTTCCTGTGTTCCTTCAGAAAATCCTAAAAAAACCTCTGCCCTGGGGTTTAAGAGACACTACCTGAAAATCAAGTATTTTGAAAGAAAATCATTGGGTAGAGACTAGAGCTCAGTCTCTATTCTAGACAGACTAAATTTGAATACTGCTCTGCCTCATAGCTGAAATAATCTGTCTGAGCCTCAGTTGCCTCATTCGTATAAGGAAATAATGAGGCATATCTTATAGGGTCATTTTGGGTAGGGTGAGCATATGATGTCTTGTTCAGACCTGGACTTCTGAGAATGAATGGGGATACTGTTCCTAATTCAGCTGGGACTCCAGCTCACCATGGAAAAAATTAATTAAAATGATGCTATGCAATAAGAGCTCTAAGTCAGTACTTTTAAAATATATATTATTATTCATATTTCTGATATTCTCTTATTAATGAATACACTGAGGCAAAGTTTACATAACAAGGTGTGTTATGGTGGAATGAACACTGTTCTAGAATCCTTGTTGTCTGGATTCAAGTCCTGCTAACAAGGCTGTAGTCTGTTCCTAGAATATCTTTGAGCAAGAATGTGTCAAAGAATTTACCAGATTCTGTATTAGAGGAAATAGAGGTTCAGGGCAGGAGCAGGAAAGGTTGGGGACTAACCTTATGTGTCAGACAAGGCATTTTACTACCTCCTGTTAATGGCCTGACCACTGGCATCTTCATGGCTGCTTCAAACATTTTTTCATCTCAGACTTATCGCCACTGCCTCAGCATGCTGCCTTAGAATTAACAAGTGCCCCCCAGATTGGAGAAATGTACTTCACTTGTTCATCCTCTGCTACCTGTGCCACTTCTCCCCTCCCCCCATCCAAGGGAGCTTCTACCATCTGCATTATCTCCAAATCCAACTGTCACTCTACACCCTGGGGTGGGGTATGCAAGTTGATGAGCTGAACTGCTCCCTCTGGGGCCTCTGGAAGTGGCTGCTTTCTATTAAAATATTAAAACCCACAGTCCACTCTGCCATGTACTATGTGCACCTGTCCCTGGTTACCTGAGGCCTGCAAGGATGGGCAAGGAAGATAATAAGGTTTTGACTTGTAAATTGAGCAGATTTAATATGAAATCATCCATAGGAGGTCTGCTATTTTTAGCAGCATCCTTTTGGCTAAAGATTCACTTTTATACCCTTGAAAATCCAGTGCATGCCTGTGCAGAGTGAAGGTGCCCCGCTGGGTGTCAGACACCATGCTGGGGAGTCCCACGCACAGGACCAGACCTTGACTACCCTGGGCTCTGACTGGTGCCGGCTGGATTTCACCAAAGGTGTGAAATGGCTTACACAAGGTCACATGGTCCTTGAACTGAAGAGATGTAAAACCATAGCCTCCCTCTGAATCTGCATTTTCTGGGAGCTGAGGAAGACAAGTCAACTGAGATTAACATCTGGGGGCTCAGGAGAGCTCCCACTGCCCTGGCAGGAACATGCAAAGGCACCAGAGGCTGGTGTGTACATCTGGAGTCCATGAGAAAAGGGAGTGGCCAGAAGAGGGAGTGGCCATGTGCCTGGTCTGGCTGCTCCCAGAGGCCTAGGGGCAGTAATCCTTCCTTCCAGGTACACCAGAGTTGCTACCAGCAAGGGGTGGCAGCACCTCATTTTCTGAGGCTTGAAGGCCTGAGCATGTGCCATCTCCAGAGGAAAATGTTCTGGGAACATGAGCTCTGACTTCAGACACCTGAAGCTCTGTTCATGGAAGAGGAAGGCTTAACCCGTGGAGTGTGAGCTGGGAAGTGGAACCCAAGGAGTAGCAGTCAGCCTTGAATTCAGAGCTAAGACACAAGATGAAATAATAAGAGCTAATTATATTTAGAGTCAATAACACTTATTTTTTTCTGTGTACTTGGGTATGCTTATAATACAAGCATGCATGATATTGGAGATTGCATGTTTTAACTGAAATGAATTTCACATAATGTGAAATTAACAATTTAGAATGTATAATTTATTGACATTTAGCATATTCACAGTGTCATGTAACCATCACCTCTATCTAGTTCCATGATATTTTCATCACTCCATAAGGAAACCCCATACCTATTAAGCAGGCAATCTCTATTTTCTCTCCCAGTAGAACCAGGAAACTGCAACTCTGCTGTCTCCATGGGTTTACCCACTTTGGACACTTCATGCACATGGAATCAGACAATATATTACCTTTTCAGTCTGACTTCTTTGACTTAGCATGGTGTTTTCAAGGTTCATCCATGCTATGGGGCGGTTTTGCACCCTATCT